GATTCCTTCTCAGTGTTGGCGCCATGTACCAGGTGATTTAAACCCGGCAGATATGCTTTCAAGAGGCAGTTCCCCTCGTTCATTTTCAGATTCTCTTTGGTGGGAGGGTCCATCCTGGCTCCTGGTAACCTAATTAACAACTGGCCACTAGACCGTTTGGCTTACGAGACCTCTGAGGTAGAACGAGAAAAAAGGAAGGTCAGATTGTGTAACCTTAATTTGAGTTGAAGAGGAAATACCTTGGTATGCAATTAGGTTTTTCGAATTTTCAATCCATCATTCAATTAGTCGCATGGATATTGCAGTTTGTGAAAAACGCAAAAAGTAAACGTGCATTTCGAGAGATTGGAGATTTAACCGTTCATGAGATGGAATATGCAGAAAAAACTCTTATATAAATTGTACAAAATAGGTATTTTCTCTCTGCCAACTCTTTTCCCAATATGAGTGTCATCTCAGACAAAGAGGGTATAAAAAGGGTGAAAACGTGCATTACAGAGCGATCAGACGACCCTGAATTTATTTGTCCAATTATTTTACCAAACCGGTGTATTTTCACCCAGCGTCTGATAGAATATTATCATTTACAAAATTGTCACGCTGGAACCCAAATATTACTCGGAATATTAAGGGAGCGATTTTGGATAGTGAGAGGCAGGAGAGTGGTCAGGAAAGTCGTAAAAAGTTGTGTAAGATGCAATCGATACGAGGCCAAGTCTCCCGGTTGCGAGCCGGTGTCGCTACCAGGCGATCGTCTCAATGACGCAGCGGTGTTCGAGGTGGTAGGAGTTGAACTGCCAGTACCCTTGTATGTAAAGGGAGGTGAAAAAGTTTGGATTGTTTTATTCACATGTGCAATATATAGAGCCATTCATTTGGAATTGACTTCCTCGTTGTCTATTTCTTCTATTTCTAGTGATGAGCATTCAGATTCTAATAACTCTTCAAATGACTTTAGTAACATCCTGCAAGGTGCTAAAGTGTCAAGATTTGGACGTGTGATCAAGATGCCTCAGAAATTGGATCTCTTCAACCAGGTACTGTATGTCTTTGAGCCAACCTGAAGTCAACTCAAAGAGGGGGAGGATGTTGGAGACGGCTGCTGCAGACAGACGATTACGTAATGGCTCGGCGAAGGTCGGCAGAAGGAGCGCCACATCTGATTGGACTATTTTTTATTACTCTTATTTTTTTTCCTTTAACTGCGAACTAAGTGGGGAAATTCCCTTTTCACTCAGTTATATGTATGCACTAGTTAGAGTAATGTAACGTTTTCAGCTTGTGTGAGATATCCATATTAAATCTTTACAATAATAATCCCTGCTTTGATTATTAATTTGTAACCTGCATGTTGTAGCATTGAGAGTTGCAACATAAGGTATTTCTCCCGCCTTCCTAGCGTGCCTTCATGGTGTAGTGGTTCTGCACACTGGGCTGGTATTGCAGAGGTCTGTGGTTCGATTCCCGGTGATCCAAAAATATACCTAATGTCTCTACAAGGCGACTAGTATTGAGTGTCCCATTTAACTTTGGCCATTTGAAGGAGCATTTGAATTGGGCATGTAGTCACGTAAATGAGATTGAAAATCACTGGAGATCAATTCTATTCAATGAAGAATCCTACTTCGCTTTACACTGTGATTCTCAACAAGTTTACATACAGAGGGAAGAAAACAAATGACATCTTCTGTTGAACATATGGGAAAGAGATAGCTATTCAGGAAATACTGTTCTTGTATAGAAAGGAATAGCCTTAGATGGGCACATAGACCTATATGTGTTGCAACATAGAAGTCGGAATGCTCAGAGGTATACAGACAATATTACTGGATGATAATATACTGGATCCTATTGTTCATTTCGATGCTGCCACAATTAGCAGTAGTTTCATTTTGCAAGCAGATAATGCCTGACCTCACACTGCTCGTTTTATTTACCAATTTTCTGAAGCCAGCACAGTCTCTAGATTTTAATCCCATGTGGATATGTGAGATAAACTAATCTCAGGAGGCGTGTTGTTGATGGATTCGAAGTTCAAAGTCCTAGACGGGCTTTGAACTGCTCTACATGATCAACCATTGCTACCCATGCAGCTCACTGACAAGATCATAAACAGCATGGTGTTTTTTTTAATTTAATTTTATTTTATATTATTATTATTTTTTATTTATTTATTTATTTAGTTTGCATGTCCGAATTTAGGAGATTTAACATTTTCACTGATATCAAAAAATTAAATTCTGTATTAAATTTTCATGTGTTTTTAAGTTACAAGTGGTATAATATATATTGTCAGTATCTATTAAGCAATGGACAGAAGCTAACTATTAAGCAAGAGACATTGCTTAATTGTTGGAAACCAGTATAGTAATTCATTATAATGTGCAACTACATATTGCCATGACTTCTAAATTGTACTTTTTTTTTTTTTTTTTTTTTTTTAATTTTTGAAGAGCATTACACTTCTAAAGCTACATTTCTAAAGATAAGAATAAAGAATAGCTCATTAACATATGAAGAGGAAAACTATAGATGGATAAAACAGTTTCAGGTAAGAGTAAAATAACTTACATAAGAAAAACAAAGGTTATACTAAAGCTTTATATATACATATATATACAGTCAAAAGTCATTAATCCAGACTCGTCGGGACTTCAGCGATTCTGGATTATCGATTTTTCCGGATTATAGATCATCAGTTTAAATCTCGTAAGATGGCATGCAGAAATTCTAAACTTAAAAATATGAAACCGTCATTTATGAAATAAATTATGATCTAAAGAGTATCAAAATTTACAAAAAAAAAAAAAAAAAAAAAAAAAACTTAATATTTATTTGTTTACTTTATTAAACATTTCTTTCAACGCGCGCATACGTAAAGCATACATTATGCATAGTCGAAATTAGAAAATTGCAACCAGAAAACTACTTGATGTGTATTTGCAATATTTATAATGATGAGGAATTTGATTTAAATCATATCAAAGACAGAGTACAACGAGATGAAATACTACATTTAGTAAGGAATTATAAGCCGAATAAAATAAAACTATCTTCCCTGAAGATAAGGATAGTGCTGACAGATCAACTTCCAATTCATTGCGCACTGCGACGTCCCCCCTCCCACAGAGCAGCGTGAAATTGATAAACAGATTTCGGAATGATTAGAGAAACAAATCACCTCTCTGTCACTTTCTGCATACCTTTATCCATTTTTTGCAGCAATTTCACTTTTTGTTTGATGGACATTGAAACATATTTGTAGATCCTTTGGAAGCTCCAGCATCGGAAATTCTATTTGACATAATCGAAAAATCAAGCTTACTTTTATAAAATTGCTCTTACAGTCTGCAAAAAATAATAAGCCGGATCCAATTAGAACATTAAGGAACAACGCAATCATCAACATTAACTGAAATAGATAATTAGATAATTTTAGCTTATACCATCCGTTATACATTAAACGCGCATGCGAAAACGTATTCTGCGCTTGTGCGCACGCATATGCGCAGTCATAAAGGTCTTATGCGCACGCATTAACGCCTATGCGCATGTGTCAACGCTGCACATGCACAGAAAGTTTTTAACTTTGAGGTCCGGATTATGGGTGTCCGAATTAACTATTTTTGACTGTATATATTTCATAATAATTTATAATAAGAAAACGTTCCATATACCATCTCTAAGGAACACAAATTGAATTCAAAACCATGAATGAAAAAAAAAAAATTTTAGTCAGAATTTAAATTAGTATTTTAAATAGTAATTTCAACTTCTTGTTTAAAAACCTGCAAGAAAAATCTTAAATCGCAAATATGCAAAACCAAAGTAAATTTTAAATTTGAAAAAGTAGTTATTGCTATTGATCACAGATTAATTGGCATATCAAGAGGATAAACCAATCTGCCATCAATTAACAACAACTAAATTAAGAGAGTGTTTTCGTCTTACTTCCAAGTAAGCATCAAATTATTTGCTAGATTCAAACCATACGTCAAAATTAATACTCAATTCAAATAAAGACATTAGTCCATTTAAGCCAAGAATCTTGTTAAACAAAATAGCAAATAATCTTAAAATTAAAGTTTCTTTTAAGAACACAATCTGAACGAGATGCTTACTTTAGAAGACATATCCCCTACACACTCATTTCAATTTCAAAAACAGAAGTAAACTAGAACATAAAAAGTTAATTCAAAATCATAAGAAGATCAAAAACAAAACAACCTCAAAATTAAAGTTTAAAACATGTAGTTACTTACAAATTTTAAAGATTAAACTAGTAAGTTAAAATTAACAAACTTGCCTTCAAAATTTTAAGAACAAATGGCTGGAAATTCAAGTATTAAGTGATGGAAGTAAAAGGGTTGTCGTAAAGTACAGTTTTCTATTTAAGAAAGTTTAGCCTAAATATATATATATATATTAGACTAGCACTATTTTAATCAGTTGCTATATAAAGTATGAACTGTTTGTTACTTCAGATATTAATTTCTCTGACTTTTTTAGAGTTTGTATTTTCATTGACTTTCCTTGATCACTTTTCATTTAATAATTTACCAGGTGAAAGAGATATACTCAGGCAGATATTTTATAACAGATTTGTGTTTCTTTTATAGCTGTTAAATAAAAAATTTTAAAAAGCACTAACACATTTTATGGTAATGTTTTACGATTTTTATCTATTTGAAGGCTGCTGATCTGTCTGCTGTTTTTTAAAACTTCTATAAATCTCAAACTATATCCCAATATTCACATAAAAAAATATTTATGTCTAACTTAAACAGGTATTTCAAGAATCAACTATATTTCAATTTATGAATATGCTCTCCCTGCATAATTAGCCATTGCTAGTTTGTATGATATGAATTAAATAATAAATCACTTATTTATTCACAAACAAAAAGAGCGTTTATGGTGTAAACATACCATAAATTATGCTTTTTTACTTTATGAAACAATTTATATAATTTATGCTTTATGAAATATATTATACTCACTGATATCTGCCTTTATCACAGTATTGTCAAAAGCAACATGAACAGCCATTGAACTCCATTCATCATATACAGACAATTTCCTAACAATACAAAAATGCATAAATGCAGCCTAATTATAATTTACTTCAAATGATTCCTCAAAAAAGAAATTAATATTCATACCTCAAAACTTGAGCAACTGTGTTAGGTCCAAACCATTGGCCCACTGCTTTTCCTTCTGAAACCCCCATCTGTGCTGAGGGAAAAAAAAAATATTTTACTTCATTTTATCCATAAAATAATGCTGTTCATATTACTCTCAAAGTGGAAACAAAAATGTAGTATGAGGTCACAACACCAGTTATTTAAAGACTAAACATTAAAATTAAGACTGAATCATATTTCACTTACATTAATTTACAGCTTCAATGTATTTTAGAACTTACATAATTATTGGTTTGTATGGATCAAGTGGGAAGACTGAATCCCTGCTAGTTCAAAGCAAAATGATAAATATTCATACCAGATAAAAAAAGCCTTCATTAAAAAATAATTTATATAAACTAAGATGGATTTTATATATTCATTTCATAAAAAGAAAAAAGAAAGGAAAAAAGAAAAGTGTTATAATAATATGTATATATATATATATATATATGATGTACCAGCTTTTGTCCAAAATAAATAGATTGGTGAAGAATCATAGATGTAGTCGTAGCTTAAATTATCAGACGATAAGTTTAAAAAACAGGATCCATTTATTATTGGTCAGGAGAAATAGCAGTTACAAAATCATATTTCCGGAGTAAATAAAAAAGAATTACTAATAACTTTTTATATGAAGTTTACTGCATCGTTACATTAAAGAAAAGACCCTGATATTCCTTTGCGAGTCCTTTTATAGCCTCTGGAAAGGCGAAGCTTCCAATAAATGACGTCAGCCTCGTCAGCCATTCTAGTTTGCTTTAAATATCTCCAGAACATTCTATAACTGTACGTGTAGAAAAAGCGGGAAAAACAACTTGACTATGGGGCTGTGGATTTAATTCCATGTACTTTCATATAAGAGACCATTAAAAATGAAAAGAACATACAGTTAGAATTTTAAGTGTATTTTTGACTATGGAATTTTATTATTACAAATATATATATATTATTCAAAATTAACTCTTCCTAAAAAAAAACAGAGAGAGAGAGAGAAGAAAGGGGGAAGAAAAAAATTACATATCCAGATAAAGAAACAGCTATAGGTAAATATTTGTGAAGTACAAATTTGCAGAACTTTCACCACACTACACAAATTTCATTGTTTTAAATCACAAAACATTTCTAAAAAATTTTATGATATTATGAAAATTAAAATTACCCTCTTTTTTAATTATGACAAATCATATTAAGGCTATCTGCTTACGAAAAGGAGTGTTTTCATGGAGGGCCTTCTATGGGAAATTTGCTCATGTTCACCCTTAATCTATATTGGTGCGATTATTTTTCATAACTTTCAACGTGGATTAAACAGTGCTTCGATGAACTTAATTCTTTATATAGTGATAAGCACCATCCTACAGCAATGTAAAAAACAGGTGTAATGAATTCAATCGTGGTCGACATTCGCTCTAGGACCAATTCTGTGAAGGTCATCCAAAACTGGTTGTAGTGCCATAAACTATTGATGCTGTGCATGAACTTATAAAGCAAGATCATCATGTGACATACTGTGAGATTGAGGCATCTTCGGGCATTAGTATGCCAAGCATTAGTAAGATATTGAGTAAACTTGGCCGTAATTTTTTTTTTTTTTTCGTTTTGTATCCCACGTAATCTGACAAACGCTCAAAAGAAGGCTCGTATCGATTGGTGCAAGGAAATGTTGAATTGTTTAAGGTGTTTTAAAGGTGGTGTATAACAACTACATTTATGGCGAATCATGGATCTATGCATATGAGCTTGAAACAAAACAGCATTCGCCTTTATAGGGGTTCCAAGATGAGCCAAATCCAACGAAAGTTGCTCATGGAGGAAGCACATCGAAGCAAATGTATGCCAGTTTCTTCGGCATTACCGGCTACGTGGCAACAGTGGCATTATAGCAATGCAGGACGGTCAATTCCAAATGGTACACGACCATTTGTTTGCCAGAAGTCATCAGAGAAATTCGAAAAAAGGAGAAAAGACAAACCATTCTTCATCATGACAATATGAGTTATCACACTTTATCTCAAACAAAGGAATTTTTAATGGGCCACAACATCACATTGATGGGTGATCTGACGCACAGCCTTAATCTGGCACACATTGATTTTTTTATTCCCGCACATCAAAAATAAATTACATGGTCAGCGATTTGCAGCACTCGAAGGAGCAGTTGATGCATTCAAAGGGTGCGAGAAAGCATATTTTAGAGTTACCTCAATCGGAGTGTGAAAAGTGCTTCAAAAATTGGTTCAAAAGCATTCCAAGCGTATTATTGATCTTCATGGAGAATATTTTGAAAAACAATTAAGTCAACTGGTGACAGCTAATGAATAACTTTAACATAGAGTTCAATAACCTACTTTTGCAAATTTTTGGCAGGTGGAATATCATAGTCTAGTTTGACAACCTGAGTAACAATTTCTTATATCAAATTCTCTTTTCCATGTTAGAATATTTTCTGAAATTGCTAGTTGTTTACTAAAAACATATCAAACAAGGTTTCTTGTGATCTCAAATTCCTTCCCAAGATTTGAAATCACGTGCTTAATTAGTGATTTCTAACCATGAAGCTGTTTTCTTAAATTCTTAACCACACTTCTTGAAAAAGGCCAAAAGCACAGTAACACTCAGCCATAAAGACATACTTAGCAGTTGAAAAAATGGTAATGACTAGGCAACAATAGGCAAAGAGAATGCCACATAATCCAAACAGTTTAAAAACAGATGTGAAAATCAGAATGTATGGTACTTTTTGTTCAAATTTCAGTTTGAAATGTTTCCTATTTTCAAACTTATATTGGACTTTTTTAGGATAAAGCCCTGAATAAATCTCTCTAGACTCAAATATCCTTCTTCAGCCAGGGAAAGAACATAAACTTTTTATAGCAGGACAGAGAGAAAGGGGAAAATAGGATAAAAAAGAAAGGAAAGAAACACATATAGCAACACTACTGCTGAAATTATCATGCAGTTTCTTCCTGCTAAAAAGACACTAATGATCGAATTGAACAGAAAACCTTCAGGGTGCAAGACAGTTTTGCTGACAAAAAACTGGAGCAAATACCTAAAAGTGAACAAACTAAGTACAGCAGTAAAATTAATAATATTTAACTTAGTGGCTCTGCCTCCCCTATAGAAAAAGGACCAAATAATCAAACTGTGTAGATACACAATAAAAAGGGGGCATAACATGCATATATTAAAAGGAAAAACAAATATTTTTATAAAACAGAAGATTATATTTTTCTTATAATTTAAGCCCCAAATAAAAGTAGGTTATGCAATAGGGAGTAAACAAAACAGATATCATTATAGAGCGTACAAAAATTAACAGTGTATCCAACAGAAAATTAAACTGAACATATGCTTGTTTGGAAGAGATGGACAAGTTCAATTTTATTTCCTGTGCTTCTGAGTTTTATTTAAACAGTATTTTTTTGTAAAAATAATTTAAAATGAATGTGTTATTTTTGCAAAAATAGTTTTAAAAAGGGGAATTTTCTACATGATTTACAGTACATTAACAAGATTTGATCAATTAAAAGTCAAACAATAAAAATCAGCATTATATTTGCAAATTTTCACAGATTCTGATACGAGTCTTCCAGTGGTTGCACAGCAAGGGAAGATCTGAGTTGATGTTTTATTCCTTTGTGCACATAACAACAAATACTGATCATCGGTGCTCATTGTAGAGTTTGGCCGTCCTTGGGTTAACCTCCTGGATGCTGAATCTGCAGTTAGAAATTGCCACCTAAGTATATAAACCACAGAAGGACTCACATTTAGCCATCTGACCACTTCTGTCTGACTTTGTCCCGGCTAGTCACCCAACAGTTCTCCATCACAGTTCTTCAAGCAAATGATGCCTGGAGGTCATTGTAACGAATTGGCTATCCCTGATTTCTTATCTCTTTTACAGTAAAATTTGCTTGCTTGCTCTGAAACATGTAATTTTATGCTCCTCACAGATAACATATTTCGATTTCTGTACCACGCTGGTAAGTAATACCACGCTGGTGAAAGTCTTGGAGCCAACTTCACGATTAATTTACTATGTGTACCCTTTGGTTATTAGATATTTAGATTTAGTTTTACATTTGAATTTCTACTTATTCTCATCATAAATATTGGCTTATAAATAAGCACCAGGTGAGCCTTCTGTTCATCTATTTTAGTTTAAAATGAAGAGTCATTTACATCCTTCTCTTAAGTCTTTGTAGTATTTTTAACACATAGTGATCAAATCTTATTGAGGTTTGGTTACAAGTTACAATAGAGGAAGATCAAAAACATAACAGTGGCACCTGAACAACAGTGAACTTTGTTGCAAAGCAGTTCACATTTTAGTCTGCCACCCCCAAAGGTTACAAGCCCCACCAGTACTGGTTTAATCCTATGGAGGGCTTTGGCTTCATTATAGATACCATGCAGGTAGAAATAAAATCCACAATGACCCTTGATGGAAGAAGTTCAAAAAATATATTTTTGAAGCACTTAAATTCAGATTGATAGCAACTGGTGCACTTAGAGGACGGGTATACAATTTGGAAGCTGAACTATTCAGCAAATACCATTTGAAAGTCAATGAACTAATCTATTTATATTACGAAAAATCATAATCTTTAATTTGTTACTGAGGGAAAAGGATCAATACAGAAATAATTCAAATTATTTTGCCTAGGCTGCTACTGCATATAAAAGACTTCTTTCAATTAAGAAATCCAGGTATGCTGGAGTAACTGAACTAGGAGTTTGAACTCCTAGTTCAGTTTAAAAGCTGGAGGGTTGCTGAAAGTACATGTACAGCAGGATATGGCCAGAGCCAAATGGATAATTTTTAGACCTTCACCACAGAGAAAGCAACTGTTTAATGGAAATAAGCATTTCAAAAATAGGCAACAATTTCCAGCCATGAGTGGTGATCGCCAAAATAAACAGCAAAAGAGGAAACAGGGGCAAGGAAACAAGCAAAATTTAAACTAATCCAGGGGTACTGAAGATGAGAGGATATAGGCAAGAAAATCCCTCTAAAATTTAATTTAATATTTATAAGGTATT